GTTTGGGAAACTTAGTCCCCTGACTTTGATAATTACCTGTTATTAAACTACAAAACAGTTAGTAGTTCCCAGTGGATTTAATGAAAACAAAAAAAACCCCCACAGTAATTGAGTGAACACCGTTCACAGTGGTCACATTTGTACTTTGAAACATGCTTTGCAGGTTATTTGCAGAAAATGTAACTGCCTGTAATAGTGGTCTTGGAACAGAAGGAACAGAATCTCTTCTTTAACTTGGAAATAAAAGGACCAAGCAAGATCAAGTTTCTTATATGAGGGGGACGTTAAGTTAGGTAATTTATCAGGCGAGATTAATACCACTTGTTAAAAGTAGAATCAATCCATGCTAGCTCTGCAGATAAAAATATGAGCATCTCTCACATTACTGTATGATAAAAGGTTCTTGCAGAAAATGACCAGTTGAGAAAAGAAGCAGATGACCTTGGACCACGAGCAGAGCTTGATTATTGGAAAAAGAAATTGTCAAAATTCCACTACCTTATGGAGCAGCTGAAGAGCCCAGATGTGAAGGCAGTGCTTGGAGTACTCACTGCTGCTAAATCCAAACTGCTGAAGGTTTTTACTTTAAATTATGACAGATATAAATACTAGAAGTGCTCTTTATACCCTAGCTCATTTTGATAATGTATGTAACAATGCTGGTGGGGAAAACATTGAAACATCTTTGGCTTTTGTTTACCTTCTCTATTCTTTAGCTTGAGTAGATAAAGTTTATATCTAGTTCAATTTATTGAAAAAAATTGGGAATCCCCTGAGTCAAAAGGCTGATAATGTACTTCATCCACATGGCTCAACAGAAATAAATAATTAAAAATGAAAAGTTGATTATTAAATCAGAATATTGAATTAATGAACTGGATATTTAATGACAAAAAATTGAATCTCCCCATTTTTAAGCCTTGTTTTTATGTTGTTGCAGTGCCTGTCAGAATTGATTGTGGAATCATAACTTGTTACATTGACATATAACAAATTTAAAGTCCCATCACCAACAGAAAATAAGTAAATAAACCAAAAAATCTTGTCTCATCAAAATGAGATGTGGAACAAATACATAGTTATATAACCGTAACTCATATATTTTACAGCAGCTTGACTGCACACTGCCACTGACTATTTAGCTGAGTGGTCTAAACCAACTGTATGTTCACAGTCAAGTTGCTGAAACACGACAAGGACCCCATCTTGGGTGAACAAGTATAATTCTGAAGTTAAAGATTTATGCTTTCAAACGTGTTTGGAAGCTAATGACAAACCAAAATTATCTCAAACATTTTTTTTTCTGAAATGCATACTTTTATTTGTTTTTTTGACTTTCTGTTCTTAGAAGTGGCGAGCATTGGATATTCAAATCACAGACGCAGCAAATGAAGCTAAAGATAATGTGAAATATCTGTATTCTCTGGAAAAATATTATGACCCATTATACAATGGTGATCCTGTAAGTAGAACTTTTAAATTCTTAACATAAATGTCTTGAGACAAACAACATGAATATATTCTGTAAGATGAGTTTTGAAATGAGACAAAAAATTTTACATATGCAACTCCAGTTTGAGATTTTGTGCAGTTGTGGTAAAAGTGGATTAATGGGAATTTATGGCTACAAAATAAAGTACTTGTTATTTTCATACCATAGTATCTGTAAAGCTTTAGTTCTGATGAACAGATGGGATTCTATCCTGTGGGAGAAAGTGAATTCCTTACGATTAAAAAGAAAAGTAGATCTAAGGTTATGCTAAAGACAAAGTTTGATCTTTTGTCTTTGTGTTGGTGGCCAAATTAACATTTTTAGGGCAATTTTCAGCTTCTTGGGTTGGGAAAAAATATTTTTGCATAAGTAGGATTATGTAAATATTAAGACATAATTATAAATCACCTTCTCATACTATAGTATGAGAATGCATAGGATGATGAAAGCATAAAATGCAATAAACAAAACCAGCCACCCTAAAGTACAGGACTGGAGGAGTCTCTCTCTCCCATTATCAACTAAAATAAGTGGCAAATAATTGCTTTTATTAAAACTGGTTTTGCAACTGACTGTATGTGTCTTGCTAGTCAAAGAAATGTGACTGGTAGTCATGAAGACTCAAAACTTTGACTTGTCCTAGCTTTCCCTGTCTCCTCTGAAACTTCTCCCAAAACCAAATTGTTTCCAAAGAGTGCTCTGGGCAACCATGCTTGTTTCTGTTTACTGGGTGATATTAGAACAGTGTGTTCTTTCAGTGTTTCCAATCTGTTATTTGAGTTTCTCTATTGAATGGTTATTGTGTTATGATGCCCATAAAAACAGAGCAAAAGCTTGGTGAAGGGGTCATCTTTGCATGCAAGCTTACATCAGGTTTAGCAACTGAGCATATAAACATATTTTTTTTTTGTGAAAAAAGTGGTTCTTTTGAAGAAAGAAGAAAGAAAGAAAGCCTTCTACCAAATTTCACTCACTGATCTGGATTTTTCCAGGCAAGACTCCAGTGGAAATTTTTCCCCAGAATTAAATTGTAGGGCTTGGGGAATGATGTAAGACAGGCAGCTCTGCAAGAGAGGCCCAGGTAGGCAGGGACAGAACCATTCCAAAGACAATGTTCATGCTTCTCCTGTATTCACCAATTAGGTGTTGTGATAATGTGGGGTAATAGAGATACTGAGCAGAGTTGCATCTGTGTGTTTCTTTCCAGGTATCCATGCTGGATGCTATTCCAGGGCTCATAAATGCAATTAAAATGATTCAGAGTCTCTCTCAGTATTATAACACTTCTGAAAAGATCTCCTCACTGTTTGTGAAGGTTGGTGCTCAGCAGGAAAATAAATATTCCCAGATTGTTTTCTGTGTTGTTGCTTGAGTGCTAGAGAAAACACAAAGGAACCAAGCAATTAGGGAAGCAGCACTTCAGTCACTTTAATGCTGCTTTTTTAATATATAAAGAAGTGGAAATAGTGAAAAGCTACTTCAAATTTAGGATTTACTTCACTGCCCATAATTTGCAGTTATAGGAACATTCTCAGACTTAAATCTGACCTCTGATGTACAGAGAGGAATCTTTTACAAGTTTTGTCTGTTATGAATGGGGATTTTTTTTGTAGAACCAAATACATTAAATTCATATTGCTTTTAAACATCCACATGTTTGCAAAAAGAAGGAAATGGATTAGAAAGACAGTGTATTCTTTACCATTTATACTCTCATGGGGTCTTGATTTCGCATTTGCTTTCAGAAGAGACGAAGTCTTAGGACTTTGTACACTTCAATGCTATTTCAAGGTTGGTACAAGATGTGTCGGTTGAGGATGAGCATAGTTAACCAACAACATTTTTGTTGTGTCGTGTTCTGGAGGCCGGGTGTTGCAAGGAAGGCAGTCTGTCCTTGTGGCTGGTATTTGGTATTGCTATTTGTCAGGCTTTAGGTCAGTGGAGTCAGAAGAATGGGAGAGAGAATGGCAAGATCTGCTTTGTCTTGGAATGCTGTTGTTTTCATGGAGTTAAAACTGATTTTAGGTGACCAATCAGATGATCACAGCGTGTAAAACTTATATAGCAAACAATGGCACAGCCACCATCTGGAATCAACCGCAGGAGAGAGTTGTGGAAAAGCTACAAGCAGCTATTAGACTTAAGCAGGTAGGTGGGAATAACATATAGAAAACATATTACAGGATGATATTTAGGAGAGCAGGAATAGGAAGATTTTATGTGAGAAAGCACTGTTACAGAGAAGAAAAATGAGTTAATTGGAAAATATCCACTGGAACTGGAATGTTTATGCTAGAGCTAACAAGGAATTTAGCCTGTTGTCTGTTGATCTTCTGGAAACAAAATTTTGATGCTTAGTCTATCTCAACTATGCTTATAAGAGAATTGCTTGGATTTTCATGCCTATGTTTCTCTATGTTGTGTCTTCTCACTTGATGTAGAGAGTTATGAAATAGAAGTTGAAACAAGGAGAGTTACTGAACTGAATATATTCAAAGAAGTGTGGACAAGCTATACATTTAGAAAGGACAGTAGTGAACTGAGAAGAATTCAGCTGTTCAGTCAACCTACACTTGTCAGGAAGATAGCCTTTGTTTTTTTTTAAAGCACTTCTGTGATAATTTTAAAGTTGTTTTTTTTTTTTCCTTTGTTCTTCTTCTCCCCTTAAAACATAGTATTATAGGATAATTCGGCTTGAAAGGATCCTCAGCAGGTATCTAGTTCAACCTTCTACTCAAACCCAAAGCAGGCACAGTATGAGATCAAACTTGGTTTCCCAATCCTTTATCCAGTCCTGTCTTGAAGTTCTCCAAGGATGAAGAGATTACACAGCCTTTTTGGGCATCCTCTTTCACTGTTTGACTGTCTTTGGGATGAAAGATTCTCTCCTTATAGCCAGTCAGAACCTCATCCATTTCAATTTACGTCCTTTGTTTCTTGGCTTCTGTCCATGTGCTACTGTGAAGAAGAGCCTGACCCTCCCTTTGATAATCTCCCTGTACATACTGGGAGCTTCATGTAGGCTTTCTGCGTTAATTTTTTTTCATTCCCAATATGTGCTTGCAGGACTAGAGCTTTATCTTAATACCTCCTGAAGCAACAAATCTTACCTAGTTCTAGAATAAATGAGTGTAAATTTGTATGACATCTTACAATCAGCAATGAGCAATAAACTTGTCTTTTTCTGTAAAGTTATATCAAATTGTCCAGTTGATGCGTGAAAATATATTGAAAAATTAGGTATTAATTTGAGTCTTATTAGTTCCAGAAACTTTCAGAAATTCAATAGATTAAAACTTAGAATTTGGATTAAAACTTAGAATTTGAATCAGTAACAATATAGCAAAATCTGGACCCTCTGTATTGATATCTTTGAGTGAGGTTATTCATACATAAATGTGATAAAACAACGAACATTTTATTGTAAAGAGAACCACTATTGAAAGAAACAGTTTCAAGTGAATCTGTTGACTATGTACTTGGACTTTGGGAAGAATTTGGAAGTTTGGAATAAGGTTTGTTCCATGTTAGAAATACAGAATCAAAAGTGGAAGCCGCTATGGAGCAGCATTAAAAGTTCAGAAAGTGATTTGTTCTTGAAAGTGATTTTTGAACCTTGAATACTCGGTAAAACTGCTCAGCATGCAAACATTTGCAGTCTCTGGAAACTGGGTTGTCATCTTGGTTATTCAGTAAACACATCAAACCCTGCTATGAAATGGACGGAACAGAATTTCATGCTAGCCAAGGATATGTAGAAATGCATATATGTGCAGTTGGTCATTTGATGAAATGTATACTCCTTTAGTGGCATTGATGGGTTAATTTTCAGAGGCAAATTCTGTTACTCTCTTTATAGTGTTCATGATTGTTTATTGGTGAAATTTCTACTTGCTGTCAGGTTGGGATAATACCTATCTGTGTAAATTTTGTTCTAGCTAAAGACAGTGATTTTTGTTATATACTTGACATTCTTTTAAATTCTTTATTTAAGGAGTATCAAAATTGCTTCCACAAGATAAAAGAGAATTTGGAACAAAATCCAGCTGAAAGACAATTTGATTTTAGTGAGATATATATATTTGGAAAATTTGAAGCCTTTCATCGTCGTCTGGTAAAGATAATAGATGTTTTCAGTACTATGAGAACTTACTCAGTTCTACAGGAATCTAAGATAGAGGGATTGGAAGCAATGATCACAAAATATCAGGTACACATTAGATTTTGTATATTGGGTCAGTCTAGCTTGAACCTTTTATGAGAAAACTATGAAAATTAGGGAAGTGTTTATTGAGAAAAAATTTAACTCTTTAATTGTGTTAAAATTACTGGGTAATAGCAATGTAAATATGTGATTACTGGAGAAATTAGAAGACGAGATGAAAGAAAAGGTGCCAGTGGACATGTGAAAGAAGCATGCTAAAATCAAAGCTGATTGAAAAATGCAATAAATTGGGATGACTTTGTAACAGGAGTAATGGGAGCATGGTTTTGTGCTGTGGTCATGAGAAAAAGTGAGAAGTGCTACATTTCTATCTCTACAAATGTTGGGCTAGCTGTGAGTACCCCTTGGCTCATTAGTGTTACTATGTGGTTTTCTTTATTTTATTTTTTTTTAAGAGAAGTGGGACTTGAGTAACAAGGAGCTCTTTTAAGAATATAAATAGCTCTAAAGCTATTTATAAAATAAATATAAAGCTCTTTTAAGAATATCCTTCCTTCTTTCTCAGCTAGCTTTCTTTTCTGCCAAATGGAGTCTTTCCTGCTTTTACTGAGCCTGAGTTAGCTTACTTTTTTGTGTAACTTTATCAGTGCAGTGTCATAATTATGGTGCCTGTAAATATTAAAATAAATCAGAAGGTGTCCATGTGTGGACTTTGTAGACAGCTTTTTGAGATCACATATGAATCAGTGGCTGTACAGGAAAATACGTCATTCTAGTTTGCTTTACTCTGTTCTTTGCCTTTTTTTTATGAGTCAATCACTTTGCTTTAGTGAAATAACTGTAGTGTAAAATGTGGCCATTCCATGGTCCTTTCTTGTCTGGTTTACTCCATCGGTTGTCTGGGGTTTTGATTCTTTGAATACATCCTTCACAGTAACCAGTTTTTTGCTTTCTTCTGTTCTATAGTCTTCTGAGAGTTAGCCAGGGCACAGCTGTAAGGATACCTTAGTCCAAGACTCTTCCATGTGGGCAGGACAGGTGTGGAATGCTCTAAATTTTATTTCCAAGAGCTGCTCTCCAAAGTCGCATAACCAGGCTTCTCAGCAACCCAGGTTTTGGAGAACTTTCAGATCATGCAATGAAGTGCAATTTTTATAGGCTGGAAAACATGAATCTAATTTCTTTGGGGTATTTGTGTTTGAAAAACTGCCTGTGACCATCAGCTCAAGCTATGATGCAAACTTTATAGAGATACACCTCATTATCCATTGGAGCAGCCAAGTCCTTAAACAAGAACTTTGTGTGAGACCCAGCTGCTGTAAAGTCAATTGTGTTTCAGGATGAAGAATGCTTAGGTAAAAAAGGCTGCGTGAAAGGGTCTGAATAGGTTGCATAAAAAGCAGAAAAGTGATCACACTTCTTTTTAAAGTGACGAAATTGAGCTACTGAAGTATTTGACATGGACCATAGCTGCAGTTAGTATGTGACTGATTATATGTCTTAATTTTTTTTTACAATAGGAGTTAACTATTTTGCTGTTTCTTATGCTTTAATACTTAGTCCCTATCTGGGATTTACATGTTGTTGAAGGAAAAGATGGAATTTTCTGTTTACAGCAATGCAATGAAACTGAATTTCAGTTGATTTACCATAAATTTAGGGAAGTCAGCTGAGCTGGAAAAATGCTGAGTTTCATAATTATACTGTGGTAAACTACTAGGATGTTGAACAGTAGTTTATCATTAGGAATCCTTTATCTGTGTGTACATCTCAAGGGAGATGATGATTAAGATATACTTTTATGTGTATAGACAGCAGCTGTGTAAGAGAAGCCAGGAATACTAAGTTGTGGGCTGGTGATGTGCTGCATCTTACTGTGGTTTTTCAAGAGTCTATTTATATATGGAATCAGTTGTTTAAAGTACATGGAAAATAATAATGTAAAAATATTTTTCTCTGTTGAACTTTAAATTTTTAATAGAAATGTACTTCTTCATGCCAGAATGTTTAATTAGTAAAAAATGTCTGATGAAAAGCAAGTCTGAATTTTGTGTCAGTTCTAATTGACTTAGAATAAGATAAATAAATAATACAAATGAAATCTGAAAAAAAATTCAAATTTATTTGAAATAAATAATAGAAATGAAATTTGAATGGACATTACACCAGCTTGATTTCTGCAAATATTTGTTTTAAGGGGTTTGCTTATATTGCTCAGTAAGTACTGGGAACTATTAGCAAAGGTAAAATGTGAATGTGCTCAACCTGTTGTGCTAAATTTTTGGTGTGGTAAGCCTTTTTCATAAGACATTTTTTTTGGTAATGGTTTTCTTTTTCTGTGAAATTGTTTAGAGCATTGTTGACAACATGAAGAATAAGCATTATGATTTCTTGGATCAGCGGAAGACTGATTTTGACCAAGACTATGAAGAGTTTTGCAGAGACATAAATGATCTTCATGTATGATACAATTATACAAAATAATTCAATTTATTGAGAAATCCTTACTATTCTTTCTGAGTTACCACAAAAAATGCAAATCTCAAAGTTTGCATTCTGAAATTGAAAAATTATTCCAATATATTTCCACTTTGAAGCTTCCATTTACTATCTTTCAGACTAGTTTAATGGAATGGGCCATTGAGGGCCTTCAGCAAAAGGATTTTTCATTACTGTATGCTGTCAAGAATAACAAAAATGGGTGATTTCATTGAGTGAATAGGAGTGTAGTACAAATAAGTCAGATAATTAACTTTCCAATAGTTCTGAAATCACAAGATGGGGAAAGAAAAGGGTATCTGCAGAAGAAAAAAAAAAAGCTTGTGTTGCTTTGGTTGCCAGAGAGGTAAGCAAGCATTCTTTAAGGCCTCTCAACATGGTGAAACATTGGAGGCTACAGAAGCTTTTCCTGGTTGCAGAGCTGCAGAGGGAACTTAGGAAGAAAATGCCTCGGAAGCTGGCTGTGTTTTGTTTAATTATTTTGGGAAGAAATAAATGGAAAAATAATACTTATTGAGATTAGTTTCACATCAACAAATTATCTTCTAATATATTGCATGTTAAACCCTGTTAAATAATACTTGGCATATTTGATGTGTTTTCTAGGGACTTATCTGATGTAGAATTATTTACTCTCCTTCAGGATCAATTAAGGAGGTTCATGGACATCACCTTTGAAAGTATTCTGAACACTGAAAGGGCACTGAGTATGTTGCAGAAATTTGAAAGGTAATATGTCCTATTTAGATTTCTAAAATTCTGCCAGGCAATGAAAATAAAACATTGAGGATAGTGGAAAGGGCTGGGGGTGGGGAGGTGGGGGTGTGGGTGGGGATGGAGGGAGAGCAGAGCAGGAGGCATTTTCTTAAATACAAAAAAAATAAACTCAACCTCTCTGGTCTCAGCTGTTCAGCCCTGTTAAGAGTTGTCTTAGTAGCTTGAATGAATAAAAGCCATTTTTTTTTTTTCATCAGAAACTGCAAAATATGAGTGGACTTTGATCTTCATCTTTCAAAACCAGCTGAAGTAAAGGAAAACTTTGTTAGCATATTTGCCTTAGCTTTATGCTTGAACAATGGCATTAATTTGTTACCACAATGCAGTTAGAAGAGAATAAAATGCTTTTATTAAGAAACAGTGAAATTTGTCTTTCTAAATTAACATGGCTGCAAAACAGCCTTACTCTTTATTCTGTCAGTTTTTTTATTATAATCTGTTTAATAGAATAGACAGCTAGTAGTGAATTGGTTACAGTTTGCTGCATATAATTTCAGCCCACTGTTTTAAAACAGTGACAAAACAGAAAATGTGTAGGCTTACTTGGAAACTTTTATCATCTGGTCTAAATCTTTGTTTTTTGGCATCAGGTTGTGACAACATTTGTTCAAGCTGAAAACTCTGCTGCCAAAGTAGTTATTTTCTAAAGCATGCAAGGGAATCTGGAACAACTGTTTTCCAACAATGCATTAGGAGGATTTCAGAAGTGTTTTCAGAAGGAGTTTTTAATTATTATTATTTTTCTAAGCAGATTGCAAATCCCAAATCTTGGCATTGATGAAAAGTATCAGAAAATATTTCAAAACTATGGCCATGACATAGAAACCGTCTGTAAGATCTACACTAGGCACAAGAAGGACCCTCCACTGGCTCGTAATCTGCCCCCAATAGCTGGCAAGATCTTGTGGGCACGTCACTTATTCCATAGGATCAAGGAGCCCATGGTGACTTTCCAGAGACATCCATCAGTTCTACAAACACCAGATGGCAAGAGCATAATCCACAATTACAACAAAATAGCAAAAGTTCTTGTGAAATTTGAGGTGATCTACCACAGGGAATGGCTTCAGCAGGTAAACCAGCTGATTTTGATTAAGATATTCCTTAAAGAAAAAAATAAAAAATGGTGTTATCCCTGGTTAGTAGCAGTATGTATGCTTAACCTAACTTATGATGACTCTCAAGTGAGGGATGAATTAAAAAAGTTGTTTTATGAGAAAGTGTTCCTGTTAAAAAAATAGGGCCTGTAGTATCTGTAGCTGATTTTAGGAACAACTGAAAGACTTTTCATTATAACTAAGAAGTTAAAAAAACCCCATATAATGAATATTTAGTGGTGTTAGCGTTCGGAAATACACCTAATCACGGGATATGATTATATGCAGGTGTTTTTATTAAGAGCTTTGGGAGTCGGGGTACAGACCCAAGTCTGACTCCAACATGGCTTTTGAGCTGAATGTATTTTATATTCTATCATTACATAACACACATATTAATTATTAAACTTATATTGTTCTATTGAGTTTCTCATGGTCTTTCTTAGGTCACTGACCAGAGTTTCTCATGATTATTCTTATGATTGAACAGTAATTATATTTAATTACTAAACAATCATCACATCTAACAATTATATCAATTATCATGTACTAGCTACATGGTGCTGTTCTAGCAAGTACGAGTTCTCCATGTGTTTAGAGTGTTTATTTTTTCCAGGGCCTACTAAGCTTATTTTTCATTTTAGCCCTTAGTCCCCATGATTTAAAAACCCTTTTACTATCAGTGGTAGGTCTAGCTGCCCCTCTGTCTCTGCCACATTCTTCCAACTGGTGCAAGATAATGTCTGGGGAGAGAAGTTCTGTCAGCTGGTTGGCCAAAAGTGAAAACAGACACTGTTGGAACTCAAAATGTCCCTCTGACATTTTTGGAGGTTCCAGGCCCTGGTCAGAAGCATTTGAGACCCTGACAGGCAGCTGGAAACAGCTGTGATTTTGAGTTTGAACCATGAAATGATTTACCAACTTTGCAGGAAGAACGAACAAGAAGTCACAAAAGTTTAGATATTATAGTAGAAGTAGTTACAAAGTAGAGGGTAGAATTTTTTGGTGTTGTACAGGGGGGGTTTAACACATTTACAGGGGGGTTTTTACTTTGTACATGAGGGTCAGAGGTTTTAAGATGGAGGTGATTTTTGGCCGGTCCTGTCCTTCCTCCTTCCACGGGTTGGAGGAGAGACTTTTCCACCACATGGAACCCCTGAACCAGGCCTGGGTTCTGTCAAGACACAGAAGTTATCTCTGCTCTGGACAATATGAATTTTATTTTGAGTGGTAATCCATGGGGACACTCTGTAAATATACATGTAAAAAGCATCCAGTCTGAACAGATGATAGCATACTCAGTGCACAAGTGGGCTTTGAGCCTCTTGTGGGTTAACCCTAATAGGCAGCTAAGCACCACATAAATGCTCATTTGCTTCCACCCCTTCACCCCCAGTGAGACAGGGAAGAGAAAAGGAAAAGCATAAGCAAGAAAACTTGTGGGTTAAGGTTGTTTACTTAGTGAAGTAGAAGTGGAGAAAGAAAGGGTAAAGTAATTGCCTGCAGAGGCAATTTCTCACCATCTCCCACGGGTCAAACAATTTCTAACAAATTCCAGAGCACATGGTGGCTTACCCATTCATACCTCTGCCTTTCCCTTTTTATTGCTGAGAATGATGTCATATGGCAAGAAATATCCCTTTGCTTATTTTGTAGCATCCTTTTGTTATTTCATGACATCTGCCTGGTTTTGTCCCCTCACAGCCTCCTTTGCACCCTTCATCCCCACTCCCAACCCCCAGTCTATTCCCTGTGTGGACAGAGTGAGGACAAAAGAAGGCCTTGATGCTGTGAAAGCACTGCTCAACTCAAACAGTCTTGTTTTGATAACAAATCTAATGATACCACATAAGCTGCTATGAAGAAAATTAAATGCTGACAGAGAAGATTAACCCAGTCAGAACCAGTACAAAGTAATTTAATTTCCTATTGAGAATTTTAGGACGCATGTGTGTGGGGGAAGGGGTAGGTGGGGGCTTGCCCTGGCGAGGCAGTGTACCTCACCCCTAGAGCCTGTGTCCCAGCCCTGCGGTGGCTACCAGTCCCTGGCACACCAGAAGCACTGGTCCATGTTCACCTCTGGACCCCTAACCCAGCTCCTGAGTGGCCAAATGACTGGAAATCCCAGCCAGGGGAAGGGCCTAGGAAGGCCAAAGGGTGTTTAAAGCTGAATATAAGCTATCTGATGTCTTGACACTACCTTCTCTTGGAATTTCTATCTGAACACTGCTGGAACCCAGGAATTGATGGCTATATATGTGCTATTCTGTGTATTTTCTCTTTCTTGATCTTTCTTCTTCTAATTCCCTCTTCTTGGAATTTTTTGAGTAACTAAAAATGAAGTGGGCTTAGAGTTTGCGAAGTTGGATGGGCCAACTTAATGTTTTAAGAAGTGTTTTATGTTGACTGAATATTGTACTAAACCTTTTGCCAAAGTTCTATGGTCATCTAAAGTTGCCCGTAAAGTGTTTTTTGTTGTTTTGATCTCTTGAGGCTATCTGATCGGTCTCCCATGTGTGTAACTCTTGAGCACATGAACAACCATAAACCCTTTTTATGTGTCCTGCTAAATGAGTTGTTTGGGGCCTTACAGGCAGAACACTTTGTAGCCTGAATATTCTTCAGAGAACATGGTTTACTTTAAATTCTAAATCTCATTTGACTAATTTTACCCTCTTGGGTTTTGTACATAGAGCCTCTGACTACCTTTAAATTATTAAATATAAAGGGACTTCAGGGACTACTTTAAAGGCTTGAAAACTCTGCAAGTTTCTACTATTGTTTTGGCATATTTTTCACCTCCAGTTTCTTTGTTGCCTTGTCAAAGAGCATCTTATAGAAAAAACTACCTCAGCCTTGCAAAGCTGAAAAAGAAGGGTCACAATCTCCAGATTGTGGTTTTGAAGGTAGTTGGATACCTGTCAATGCATTTGCCTGTTGTTTTTGGAACTCAGGCATAGCTTTTGTACACTGTGGAAATTTCTGGTGCTGATAAATACCAATCTTCTCAAAGGTAGTCTTAGACCAGATCTGGGACCAGAGGTACCAGTTGCTTTTTCTCCAGTCTAAATATATTAGGTTTTCCCAATCCGTCCATTTTCACTCTTGCATTTGACATGCAGTGTGAAATGTTACCAGATTTGACAGATTTGGTGAAGAGTCACCAGATTTGATTGTCTGATACTGTAAGTGGGAATTTTTTGTGTCAATTTGGTATAGGAAACCAGGAGAAATTATTAGAGTACATAAAATATGCTGGATTGAGACCTAGTGCTGAATATATATTATTGATGATTAATCTGGAGTTGAGTGCAAGCTGGGAATCAAGGAACCTGAACAGTAGTACCTCAATTGTTGCTTCATTATACATTATGGTTCAGGTACATCATACCCAAAATCAGCACCTTTTACCTGCACATAGTTGGTTCTGCTTCCCGGCAGTAATGAAGACTGCTATTGTACTTAGAAAGGTATTTAATTTTAATGCTTATTCTGCTAACATAGGAAGTTCATATGTTTTCATGTACTCTTCACAGGGAGCTAGTGCATATCCCTCATATTTTATGTAATGAATTGTAATACTTCAGGAAGCCTTCTGCATTTGTTTAGTGTTTCTCTCTTGGACTCAGTTTCTTTTTTGATTCTGGTACTGAGCTGGATACCTGCATCATTCAAAGTAAACTGATTATAGTTTTCACTGCCTCATCTCATCTGTAAAGACTAAGGAGAGTGTATGATTCTTGTGGGGCTGCATCTTTGGTGAGATGATATAGTAATCAGATTTTCTGACATGTATTGTGCCTTGATGGAGCAGTCAAGTACATTTGCCTTTCATCTTTTCTGAAATAACTATAATATCCCAGGCATCTCCCCTGAAGTGATGCATTACTTTATGAGGTCCGAATAATCTGAGTTCTGATTCTGATCTGTACTAGTCTGTACTCATCTGTTGTTACCTGTCTGTTTTCTCCTATAGCAGTCAAATCACACTTGGCAGCTATATAAACTTCCTGAGCCCGTTCCAACTTTATGCTCATTAGTTGGGAACAAAGGGAGGTGGATTTGAACAGAATTTCAAGTTTGAAACATAGACACGTGAATTGGAAAGACACAAAAAGTATATTCACTTTAACATACATGCATTAGTCTACCAGGTACGGCAAAAAAAAGTGACTACTGCTCCGTAGTCACTTCTTTCAGGCCAGAAGAGTGCACACGGGTGTGGACATGAGTGTCATAGAACACAAGGTGAAGCTCCTGCTCTACTCCTGAACAAAAGAAAAAAACGTGAGAGTGGCAAGTGTCCCGTGGGAATACAAATGGAACACAAATAGGGCTCAGTTCCTATTGCTTTTTATTCTTCTGTAAAATGTAAATGTTAAGCTTAGTGTCACTTTCTGAGAGTTCCGAACATTTTTGCCCCTATTTTTTGTACTTGTTACCGGGTGGTTATTATCCAGATTATTACATCTTATTATTCCAGTTTTTTTTGTTTGTTTGTTTGTTTGTTTTTAATAGCAAAAAGAGGTTTTTTGG